CTGAAACCATATGCACAGGTTCAGCATGGTTACAGATGAAAACAAAAGATAGCTACTGGAGCGGGTTTGGGTGTCATTTGCCTCTGTTAGGGAAACGCACCGCTGCTCAGGGAACCCAGCCAGGCCCATGATTTTCCCATCTCGTTTACAACTAGACCAGTTCGGTTTTTATGCCAACTGTGAAGAGCCTCTGTGCCCAGTTGTACCACTACCAGAGATGAAGCTGCTAAAAGGCAAGATCATCCAGTGCAAACATCTCCTAGCTCAGAAACAGCAACAGCTCTGTTGTTCAAACATGAATTTTACTGGAGGAGAGAAGGGCAAAGGTGAAGCTCCTGGAAATGCCAGAATTAAGACCTAGCAGGCAAACCATCTGCTTGCCCACACGCAGGAGTGCCAGGCTCGCATCCCGCCATCCCTCCCCGAGGAGCCTGCCTTCCCGACAGAGAACAAGGTGGTGAAAAGGGGAGCAGTTACACTGCGGTCCTCTCACAGCGGCTGAACTGCAGCGCTGCCCAGGTGATGCTGGGCAGAGGGTTTCCTACATTGCTCGTTGTTAAAGTACTTGAAGATGATCCAGGGTGACGCGCTCGATGTTGCCATGAGCTTCCTTCTTCATAAAAAACAATATGGACCTAGGAATTAACACACATCCTCTCCAAGGAGCTGATCTTTTTAGAGAACTTCATTCAAAGCACATCAGTGCTCAGCACTCCTGGAAATCAGCCTGCAGAATTGCAGCTTGGGCACTCCAGACAAATATAGAAGCACTGACCAGCAGGAGAGTTTGGTTCAAACAAATTGCTTGATGCCACACAGGAGGCAGGGGCGGAGGGGGGGGAAAGGGAAAAAACCTCCATATTGCAGGCAAGCCTCTAATAGCTTCAACTAAACCAAACTCAGCTACTCCATCCTAATCATATGCTTCATTTATTTCCAGCTCCTTAAAAAGTTAGGTAATGGCCTTAGACATTCACCTTGATTGCAGCGCTCTAATCCATACTCAGGGTAAGTTCACCCTTTGCAGTAAGCAAAGCAAGTGATTCTTGAGAGAGGGCAAAGCGTGGCCACAACTACATGCAGCAGAGGTAGGAGGTACGACTTTTAAGTATCACTCTGCTTCCTGAAAACAAAGTAAACCCAATTCATATTCAAAAGTGGCAGCTTCTTTTAGTGTAATTTGTGTGTAATCTGATGTCAAAGTTCTCCACACTCCTTGAATTTGCTTTGCATTTTTAAAAAGAAAGAAAAAAAAAAAAAAAAATCTATCCAGAGACCTCAAGCTGTCACAGGTCATTTACCAGAGCTGGCTCTCTTACAAGACGCTACAAAACATGTATCTTCAGTCAAGTAACTGATAAACAGCACAGCTGTAGATGCCCAGACTCAGTGTGAGCCAACACAAGAGGAGGATTAGGCGTATCTTGCCCAGGCAGTTCACAGATGTTTGCTGACAGCCGAGGAATGGCGATGAAGGAGCAGAAGGCCCCACGCCAGGCACAGGGCTGTTCTGGTCAGCACCAGCCCCACTCCCTCCCCAGCCAAACCTGACTCCTTCCCGCCCCTGCCAGCCCGTAAGCCTGCATACCAGAAGACGGTCAATCCCTTACTTGGGTACAGGCTGGGAGGCTTTTCCTCTACACTGGGAATTTAAGTCCAGGCCTCCTGAACGTCTCTTCTCAATCTCAACTCACCTAAAAATTTGCCCACAACCAAAGGCTCCAGGACCCACCTTCTATCCCCCCCAGCTCTTGTTCTTCACACCTCAGTCCCTCCTGCCCGTTTTCCTCCTCGCAAGCTCTCACCCCCCAGTGCTTCAGCTTTGGCTTTCCAATACTGTCCATAAATCACAGTTTCTGCTCCTTCCCCCATGCTCCACCCAGTTTGACTCCTTGGCCAGTTTGTTCCTTTCTCTTGTCTGCCCGTTACCGCCTGGCACCCAACCTGCAGTGGTAAGAGAAAGCCCCTTTAAACCTTGGAGCGAGGAAGGGGACAGTATACATGCAGTCTGCTCTAAAATCTGCAAGACCAGGAACTGGAAAACTAAGCCACTGAAAATTAGTGTCTCTAAACATTCAAAAATAGATAACTTCTGAAATTATAGCTACCCTAGGCTCAGATGGAGGCTTGTGGGATGGAGAGAGAGACCTAACAAAGGCTAGCCAGCCCCAAGACCACCCTGCAGCTTTATGCCCTCACTCTACAGCGTGGGTTCAGCTAAGCTTTCCAAAAGATAGCACTAACACCAATCCCACTTAGTCCTCAAGTTACTTTTAAAATATGGCAGAGGTCAAAAACAAGCAGATGCGACAAGATAAATGTTGTCCCAGGCTTTTCATTCTCTGCAAGTTCAGAATAATTGTATGTCAAGGAAACTCTTATGACGAGTAGCTTCATGGAGTGGTGGCACCAGACACACTTACCACCTCCTTTCCCCACACCACTATCTGCCATGTACTACAACTGGCAACTCCAGTGGGCATTGAATATAAATCCAGACTTTGGAAAAACAAATTTCCCTTGAGATTAGCACTAAGAGGCAGCTCAGTGTATGGACACCTTTGTCTGCTGTAATGTTTATAGATGTTAAACCGCATTGAAATCTTATGGCAAGACCAGACACAAACTTGATGTGAATTACAGACATGAAGAGGATGCCACATGGTAGAACTAATGTTTCAGTCGCACGAACTCCCACCCACTGGCTTTTGCTCGAGGAGGCATACAGCAAGCATCGGTTCAACTGTACATAAACAAGCCTTTAGGCATCAGTTTGGTTTCTGCACCAGCAGAAGTCTTTTACTTATGAAGTGTTGCCTGTAAGCATTGGGAAGGAAGAAAGGGAGAGTGACTCTTTCAAACTTCACACACAGCACGGAAAGACCCAAACTAGACAATATTCCATTTGGTTCTTTTATTAGCAGAAGTTAAGAATACAGCAAGTAATAAGATCCCATCTTATATGGAACCATCACCAGAGTCCCCAACCATCAAAACCCCAGAATGTGCTTCATTGCTTTCAACAGTAAGCAATTTTTAAAAAGAAATATACTGAACAAGGCCACTATTTAATGGGGGAGGAAAGAAGCTGTAGGTCCTAACTATTCTATGGCAATAACCTGCACACAGAGCAAGCAAGCCTCTGACTGCTGAGAGTAAGGCATTCAGGTGCCAACCTGGGAAGAGTTCTCAGCAAGAGCTACAGAAAAGTGCACAGCTAGGTTGTTTTTATTGGAACACACAAACTTCTCGAACGGAGAGACTGACTGGGTTAAGAATAGCAGGTGGAGTACTGTGTTTTTGTAATAGTTCTGTGCTGTGTAGGACCAGGTTACAATCACCCTTCAAGGAGTGAACGTGGGATGATCCAGGATGGAGACTGCCACTTCTGCTGGTACTGTTACAGAGGTATCCCGAAGTGCCTTACAGACAACTCTGATTCTGATATGCACCACGCTTTTCTCAGACACCAGTATACTTCCTGCCAGGCAACTCTACATCTTTGTCAGGGATGCCAGTGCTATTAGCGGTTAACATCCAAGTTAATACTGCTCTTTACTTCATTTTAGTACCACACAGACCTGTGATAAACTACTTCCGGTCCTACAGGCATCCAGTGTATTTATCCTACTGAGAACACGTCCCTCCAAGCTCGCAGACTCTGCTGCAGCACCTCTTTCTGCAGCTGACCTTGCTCTCAGAGGCTTTACAAAGACTCCATTTGAGGGGTGAAGCCTTAATATCCAGTCAACTTTCAGAAGACATTCTGCTTCTACTTGACTCTATTAGGCAAAGTAACTCCCCAAAACACACTCCGTGATATCCAGGGTATGGGAAGATCTTTGCAATCCACATTTTTCTCTTGAAGGATGAAAATTCAAACTTGCAGGAGTCTTAAAAAAAACCACCACCAAACACAACACAAAAAAACACCCTTTACCCTTCTTCCCTATGAAATACAGCATTTTATGAGCTGTTTAACTCATCTGTGAGAGAGGTAATTGCTCTGAATTTCCAACTCCAAGCAATACCTATGCCATAACAAACAAAATGTTCAAGTTTCATCTTAAGACTCCAAAGATTCTCCTTCAGTCTAGCTTCTGACTGGGCTCCAAAGATCAAGCTACATCAATTACACAAGAGAAGGGTATATAGCTCCCCTTATATAGGAGGTGCGTCTGCTCCACAGCAATCCAACTGAACTCTTAGTTTCAGGCTTAAGAAATACCAGCAGTCCCATTGCTAAAACACAGATGGGAAGCAGACCTAAGGAAAGGAGGAAAAAAAAAAAAAAAAAACCAAAAATGGAACTGCATTGGGCTGATTGTGGATTTTTCCTCTTAAAAAGAAAAACCTGCAAACTCCCTTGGCATATGGAGCCTGACACATGAGAAGGTAATGTGCTTGAGGTCTGCAGTAACTGTTAACTCCAAGTCCTGGAGCGCACAGCTTCCTCTTTCCAGCCCATCTTAACCCCACCTCTGTTTCCCCTCACATGCTCAACTATCTTTTGACAAGTGCATTACCATCATTTTTTCAGACAAAACAGGGCAGGCCCGCAAATGGCAACCATCTACTCAACGGGGGCCTTTGGGTATAGACAGGCACTGATGGAGTCGGAGTATTTGCCATTTCATGTGCAGTTATCCCATCATGCTCCAATTCATACGATGAGAACCAAAACAACTTACTGTAAGATCCACTATCCAAAACTATACAGGCCACGCAAGCTTGGAAGGCAGCTGTCCCACATGCTTACGCAGGGCGCAGGTGTATCTTTCGAGTTATTCGAGTAAATAAGCTTGCTAACACTGTGACCTGGATGACAACGTGATTAATCCAGCCTTCACAACCCTTGTGTACACGTACTGAACCTACTCCAAGTGCTGGCCAGGACCCCACGTTGCCCAGGGCATGCTGGCCACCAGGAAAATCTGCAGGGCCAACATGCTTCACTCCGGGGAATTTTACCTGGTCCTCCTGCAATCATTTATTTTGTGCAAAATTGAAACAGTGTGTGGTACTTGCATGTTGCATTCTTTACAAAAACCCTTTTCCCCCCACCCATTGTTTAAAACATTTATATAAATTTTATTTAAACAGAAAGTTAGAAATCTTATTTACAATTTGTTTTTCTCCCAAAAGAGCATCTAAAATCAACTCCCAAACCCTCCAAGAGGATATAAATTTAACTTTGATTTTTTTTTCTTTTTAAAAAAAAAGGAAACTGCTAAGCTATCCCTCCCCACTTCTACAAATAAATATGGCATTGAACAGAAGCCGATTTGGAAGGGTCCTCTGTAGCTCAATCTGTAGATCCCAAGAATAAATTAGGGTTTCAGAATTTCCTGGTCTTCAAATTGATTCATTCCATTGCTTGAGGTATAGAATTTATCTTGGTTAGTCAGAATCCCCATGAAGCTCCATGCCCCATCAGCTGAAACTTGGATTCTTCTTAGGTATTCATTTTGCTAGCCTGTATGCTTCAACCGCGCTTGCGGTACTGTTTTGGTTACTATCTTGGGCTGAAGGCTAGTTTTACTGCATCCCATCTTCCTCTGTGCAGCCTCCTCCAACTGTGAAACGGAACTCCTGGAGGTTCGAAACCCCATGGAAGTGCACAAAAGCGCCAGCCACTACAAAGACGTGAAACAGCTGATGGGAGTGGAACTGCGGAAAAGAAAACACTTCTGTTCAGCCGGCGTACTTTCGGTTCTAGTGCTACCCTGTCTCCAAAAAAGCCACACATTCAGCTGAAGTACACAGTAACACGTAGCAGCACCTCAAACCACAAGCTGCAAAGTTCTCCAAGTTATGTATTAAAAGCACAACCCTCTCCTATCGTTAGCAAAATAATCAAATTCCACACACACACCAAACCCTTTCCTTCAATCATCTTAACCAGCTAGTCAATCAACAAATATGCTATAGTGCCTCTTTGTGAAGGGACAAGGATAATTTCAGAGCTTTGGGCAAAAGGCTTAAGCAGGACACTTAAAATTAGTTCCTCCACAACACACACTGGCGGTTTATTAATAAAAAGGGCTATCTCACACAGCTGATAGGTACAAACTCTGCTCTGGTCACAGGCATAAGTTTTACCAGGTGGATTTTCAGAACCTTGTTATTTTATTTCTCTGCCACAGAGAAACAGAACAGAAAAAAAATGGTATTATATTAAAACCTAGAAACAACCAGATGTTCTGAATGAATGCCCAGGATGCTAAATGAATGAAAACCATGAGGGCGCTACATGACAAAGCATGTCCTTGTTTAAGGGAAGCCATACCAAAACGGATAATGCTCTTGAAAAATTTCTATAAATGTGTATTTGCAGGCTCCACGGGAAGCTGGGAAAAGAGTTGGTGGTACACCAGTGCTTTTGGAGCCTAGCTCATTATTGCAGCAAACAACTCAAACAACCCAGGCCTCATTCTCACTTCTAATCTTCTTTAGGGGCCTTAAACTATCCTAGTAGAAGTACAGTGGCTTTCCAAAGGTCCACCTCCCTCTCAGCTCTACTCTGGCTCCACCCAATTTCCTTCTTTACATCTTCCCCACATATTTGCCCTCTACAGTCTTCATGATCCTTTCCCTTATCCCAAGTTTCCCCCCACCCACGCACTTGCTCACCCCACTTTCCCTTCTTCTGGGCCAGAGATCCCTCCAAAGTCTACTATCTCTATCCAGTGTTTTCACTGGCTGCACAAGATGAGGAGCCAGACATGGTGAAGATCCCGGAGAACACACTGAACATCAGAGAAATAACCACGCACTATTCTGCACAGAAGTAAGGTAAGATGTGTGTTTGCAGGATCCTCAACACACACACAAAAAGGTTTGCAAAGTTGCTTACCCATCTATTAAAGCTATCTAGTAGATGTGCTGGGGTGAATTAGCAGTTACCCCAGACCACCCAGCTTGTGATAACTCAGCGAGAGAGGCACCAGGTAAGCCGGGCTCAGAGAGCCCACAGGTGTTTGGCCCCTTAAGACCCTACCCTTCTGGTGCAGCAGTTTGATACTTGCAATAAGAAAACATTGACACAACATCCTCCAGCCTCAAGGGGAACCAGCTTTCACGTTGGTCTCCTCATCCAGTCATTCTGTAGACTCACCCAGATGTCACACTTGCCAGGGAAGAATCTCTCCGGGATGCGGGCAGCATATAGTGCAGCACCAGTGATGTACAGGCATGCCATGAGTGCCAGCCAGCCTATCTGCCCCATTGTGGCTGCTTTCAGGAGCCCCTCAGAGATGACAAAGTGCAGGGTGGGAATAACCCCACTAAGACCCAGACCTAGAAATACTCCTGGGAGGTAAAGAAAATGTGGGAGAGTCAGATTTGAACACAATGGCGGTAAAGGGAGACAACAAAAATACAAAAGCTATGGAGGGAAAACTCAGTATTTGCTAAAGCAGCAGAAAGGTGACAACTCTTGAAGCTGGAGGTCCCCAGAAGAGCTTTATTGGAGAGGAAGTTAAAGAATGCACAGACCTCTTTCATACACCAGAAGCTAGTTATACGTCCCAGCAGATACTGAAATATTTCATTTAATGATTGCGTCTGCCAGCTTTAATGTACCTTAAACCAGTTACACATCTTGGACTGTAGAGGGCACTGAGACTACATGAACTATGTCTCACTTTACCATAATGCCTCAAGGGCAAGACAACAAGGAGAGATGACAAAGAGATTATTTATCATATACTGTACAAGTAGTCCTAGGAAACGGAACAGTAGCATCTGAGGCTCATCTGATCTCCCATATATGAGAACATGGTTTATGCATTTAGATTTTAGCAGCAAGTACAGAAATCTTGTAAAAAAAGTGTGCGTAGGGGGAATAATCACATCCCATCCACAGATTTTAAGTTTGGAAGGCTGAACTCTCTGAAGGTACTCCCATAGCTTGTCCAGGAAATTTAGATTTACTGTAGACAGCATATGCAGGCTAAGTAACAAGAAATATTACTATTCATCTCAGCTGTGTTCAGATTCCATAGCTGCCCCCTAAAGCTTTCTCTTTGTTCCTACCTCAGAATGTGAAACCATGATCATGTGAAAAGAAAAACTAGGCTCTTTGTCTTAAATATGTATTTTATCTAGGCAAATCATTCAGACTAATTAAATCATTCAATGATTTGCTAGTGTCTGAGCCTAGTATTACAAAGACAAGACAAACAATAGAAGGAATATACACATACACACACCAAGCAGTCAGTCATTTTTTTGTGAGACCAAAGTTGCTAGATACAGTTAGAAATCTTTGCACTACCTTTCCTACTGCATGTGTTACTGTCCATTTCAGGAATGCACTTCCAGGACCTGCACCAGCCCTTATCTGTGCATCCAGTTGGCTATAATCAATACTGAAAGAAAACCCATCAAGCTCCCAATCCGAGAATATTAGCTCTCTATAAAATTAATCTCTTTTAAGTCTTCCCAAGACGGTTTTGCCAAGTGGCAAGTAGGAAGGAGGAAAGGCAGTCAAGAAGCAAAACAATTAACTTGAGGTCTTACCTGCCCTTACACCCCGGTATTCAGGGGTTGCAAACATGTCCCATTGTGAGACAATTATGGCTGCGATGCCCAGGACACAAATCACAATCAAGTAGATGAAGCAAGGCTGAGGGTTGCAATAGAAGGAGTAGTACAGCCATGGTACAAAGCTGCCCATTATGAGAAGTGCAATGCCAGAATAATCCAGCCTAGAAGGAAACAAAAATCAGTTTGATAAGAAATGCGAACCTTTGGAAGTCCTCATACCAACACTCTCTTCTTTAGTAGACCAACTGTCTACTTCTCACTGCAAAATGAAGTTATTCTCACTATTGCAACTTATTCCTGATGGCAATTCTTCCACCAATGCCCTTCTACAGTAATGGATTACCTTGATAGGCAGCTAGTAAGGTCATTTTTGGACAGTCATCAGTAATACATACAGCAGCCTTTAGACCAAAGCTTTCTGAAGGAAACTCAGATTTAAGCTTCAGATGAGGAAAAAAGCAGCACAAGGGTCCTCTGAACACAAAAAAGGGCACACAGTATGTTGTGAGAGCACAGCCAACACAGACACTCTAGTATCTGACAAGCATAAGTTAGTTAGGCATCAGCTTAAGTGACCACTGGGGAATAATGCCACAATTTTTCAACCACATTGTTTTTTTCTATACACCAGTAAAGAAGAGGAATTCCTACAGCCATTGCTTTTTACCACACCCTGACAAAACGCTCCTACAAATGACAGAGTTAATTTTTCAGTAGGGGATTTTAATTGCTGGGTTACTTTAGAGGTGGTCTTGCAGATTACACAATCCTAGGTTGAGTAATCTTAGGAAATATGAGATATTTAGCAGCCAGCCAAAAAAGAACACGTAGTAAAACCAAAAGACAAGACATCTTGATGCACATTATGGAGCTCTCTTACATAAGTTTAAGATTCAAAGTTACTCAGAATAGTTGAAATGACAAGAAGTGACAGTTGCATTAAAAATTCCAAGTCCTGCAACTAAGCTCTAGGTATATTACTTACAGCAGCAAGATGCATGCACAAGCCTGCCAAACAGCAGAAAATGAAGGAGTTTTAAGACTTAAATGGCAGCACAAAAACTCATGCTGAAACAAACAATAATTAGAAGAAGCTGCATTGAATCTCTGCTCAACTCTGTTCCAAAGTACATGCAGTCATTGCAATGAACAACAACTACACTGGGGCTCCAGGCATAAATCCCAACCCTGTTTTCCCACCTGTTTCCTATTTGGCCTACCCTGTCCTCTAGGCACTTACTTGGAGAAGAGCCGGGAAACACCTTCTGAGTGGCAATAAACTGTGTGGAAGAGCCATGAGAAGGAGAGGCAGAGTATGGCTCCCAAGAAGAACAATCCAACAACCACTTTCTCCTGCACAGGTGCTACGAAGGACATGTTTGGCCGGAACATGTAGAAGATTCCCAGACAAAGAAAGAACACGCATCCTGAAAAACAGTAAGGCAGAAAGGTGTCAACTGCATGCATACGTAAAACTTTTCTTTCTAAAAGCATGACTTTAGTGTACAGGAGCACTAAACATAGCACCTGCATGACAACCAGCAGCACACACGCAGACTAAAGTACTGCCCTACTTCTGTTATGCATTCCAGCTGCATTTCTGTCTGACTGATGCAATAGACTTGCATGGACTCTGTATTTCTACTTGTTTTGCAAGATGCCTGACAACTAGTTGGACATTCTAGAACAATAAAAAAATCTGTTGCAAAATGTAAAAAGAGAAGGGCAAAGAAACCCTCTCCCTTCAAGACTCCTTGCAAGTTGAAAACCACTCATACAAGCTGCAACTTAAGTGTGTTCCTGTGGCAAGAAATGCGATCTCAATTAACAAAAAGAATATCTACTGGTAATTTATTAACGATCAGGAAATTTAATTCATTCATTTGTACTGAATGCCATAATTAAGGAAGTCCCATCCAACTCTGATGGGATAAAATTAGGAGAGGGATACCAACCTGTTAATTTAACAGGTTACTAATAGAATGATAATGCTGACCACTCCACACCCCTTTCTATCTTGCTCTCAAAGAAAGAGAGCAATCAAGCCAATTAGAGCAAGCTGAAAATACCTAGAAGATGTGTCCAGATGTTACCAGTCTCTGTATGTATTCTGAAGATACTCTTGAAACAAGCCCGGAAGGAAGGCATGGGTGGTCTGTGTCCATGCAACAGGTAGTCGTTGTCCTTTAGCCAGTCAGGCAGAACATCATGGGGAATGACCCTCCATCGGCCCTCCCATACCTAGAAGTTAGAAAATTTTAGTTAAATGCAGGGAATTGAGTTCCACTGATGTACGGCAAAAGTCAGAAAACCCGTATTAGTAAAAGTGTTAGAGTTAATCTATGAAAAGGGTTGATGGGATATCTCTGGGGAAAAGGCTTTACACTTGCAATATAATGCTTAAGTGACTGTTCCCTATTCAAAACAGTATCATTATGAAGTTGAGTTGCACCACCAGAAAAAGAAATACTTCAGCATTTCACTGAACAGGAAAGCAATTGGGCTTTTTTTACTGCTAATGAAGGGAAAGCATTTAATTCATTTCCATGTTTCATTATTTTTACAGATCATCCTCTCCATTTAATTGAAGAAGTCTACACCTAGTTCTCTCCAAGAAATAAATAAGTAAAAGCCTATTCTTCCAACCACAAGCCAATCTGACCATATATCTGCTAGCATTTGGGGCGGTCTAGCAAAAAAGCTACCCATCAGCACTAATATGGGTCAGAAAGCATGAAGTGGCAAGAGTCCAGTGAGAAGTCTCCAATCCCTTATCCAGGTTGGAAAAAAAATGCTCCCACACTCCCAAAACAAACAGTGACAGATCAGTTAAGGCAACAGATCCATGACTCAATTCCATCAGATTTCTTCTTTAAAGGGAGAGAGAGCATATGTGCACACATCTATTCTTGCAGCTGGTTCCAAATGAAAAAAGTGTGCACAGGTGTTCTTAGCACTGCTTCAATAACATAAGATACATGTAGTCTTCAGTTTGGCTTCAGCAGAGGGGTATCAGGGAATTGCTTAATGTACCGGGGTTGTTTCTGCAGTGTTCCTTGGATTTGTCGTCTGGCTAGTAATACAGGAGCGAGCCTGAAGAATCCTGAAACACTAAGTTTAAAAAGCTACATTCTTATTTCAGTTTCAGCAACAAGAGCCTAGAGTTTTTAAATCAATTCTGCACACCCCTTCATGGAAGCAAAACAAAACTAATCAGAATAACCAAGACTGGGTTCTTAAATACATTAAACAAGAAAATAACTGGTTTACTTCATGAATCAAAAATTTGAATTGAGGCAGGAACAGCAGGACAGAATTCATTTTACACAATCCACCCTACAGAACATCTAAAAAGGGGAAAAGATGCACAGTAAAACACCAAACAAAACAACCCACACACAAAAGACGACCCAGTAACTAGGGTCCCTCTGTAAAAACATCAAAGAACAGTTAATAAAACCAGCATGAATAAGTGTATAAAGGGGCAGCACTCCCTTCACCAAGAAAGGAGAGCCAGAGATTGATACAGCCTCACGGCTCTAAGAAGTAGCAAAAATCGAGCTAAGGTCAGGATTTACTTAGATATAGTTTTACTACAGCCTTGTTTTCTTTTCAAGTAAGGGACAAAGCTTATTCTACAATGGATGCAGATGGTGCTGGAAAAGCAAAATATTTGCAAGTCTGAAGAAACCTGGAAAAAAATGACCTTGTAAATGAAAGGGCCTTGAACCAGAAAGCTTTTATTCTGCTTTGCACTCACAGGTGTTTCTCAAGAGAGACTCCTCAGTTGCATGATGAGCTTTAGAGTCCCATTTGTAATCTCTACTGTTCCATGCTTTATGATTTATTCATTTATGACGGATCCTGAGAAGCTGTAGTGCTACTAATTATAACAAGAGATCCCCGTTCAGGGATGGTGTGTACCTGCTCTCCCTCACATTAGTAGTGCAGTTGCTGCAGGTATAGCTTGCTGCCCACTGGAGCTTCCTAAAAAAGGAAGCTACTTCAGCAGTTTCCACATGCCCTTACCTTACACACAAATTCTTCCATTCTCTCCATAGCATGGTGGGCTTGTAGAAGAGGTGACATGCCCATAAACCCTTCGTCTTCTTGAGATGCTTCATCGTTGTGTTTATAATCCTCAGAACACTGTGGAGGGGAAAAAAAAAAAATAGAGAAAATACTTTGTACAAAGATGAACAGAGAAAAGTGATGTTGTTTTCCATACAAAACTATGATTTGAGGTCTTGGCAAATAAAGAAGTCTTCTTTCCTTGTACGGCACTGAGGAAGAAATTCAAAAGAACCAGCAAAACATTATTACATTCTTAGGTATCTGAGAACAACTCACAGGTCTAATCCATTTTGCACATGTTTTCACCAGGTTTGGAAGAAAGCAGCGTTCTTCTGTAAGTTACGCTTCATTAAAGCCCAGATATGGAGTCTGAGGCTTGCAGCCTACCCACCTCTAGGGAAGGATTACTTCCTATTTTATGTTTCAATGTCACTATGCCTGCCTTAATGCCTCTATAACATATCTGGCATTTTAAGATAATAAAAGGCAAGCCAAGGAGACAAATCCATTTACCTCATTATAAATGCCTCACCTCAATTTTTAGTTCAAATCTGAAGATCTATTCTGCTTAACTGACACTTCTGTTCAGCTCATAATTCAGTAATGGACATTTACTCATTTGTTTGACTTTCAAGGTATTTCAGAAACTAGTATGAAACTTTCGCCAGCTAGACAAAGGCAAGTTATCAAAGAAAAGCAGTAACAGACATCTCAGTTTTTAGCAAAATTCAAACAAAGAGAAATATCATATCCCCAATGTGTACCAAGAGAATTACGAAAACAAAAACAAAAAAAAACCACTGAGCCCGGATATTCAGCTGGTACACATCACTAATAACTTTATAGGAGAGAGGTTTGGTAGTTTACTACCCTGTGTTGACTTATCACATCATCTACACGTTATGATACACTCTAGCTTTCCATTTAGGAAAAAAGCAGGGGGGCCACAAAAGTTCTACATTCCTATTTGTTACTACAATGTTCATGGCCCATCAGAGACTCCATTCAACGCTTCCAAGGTAAACAAGCTTGAGAAAGCTAAAAAGAGAGAATGAGCCTTTTGTACCCTTCAGGCTTGATGCAGAAAGCTGCCATGCACCTTGTGACCAAGCCAAGAAAGCCCCACAATCTGTACGGAGACTGGCCTCCTCCATATTACAAGCCACAACACTTTTTCTCCCTCCTATACCCATATCAAGGTTAACAACTTTAAAATCGAGATTACTTATCAATAATGACATCCAAACTGACTGAGAATCTAGTATATAACCTCACATACTTTATGGAGGAATTATTATCAGTAATGTTCAGGTTAATGTCCTGAACTTTGAGTCAGAGATCAGATCTGGCTGTGTCAGATCAGATCTGTCCCACATTACAGCTGTCTCAGAGTAATGCCTTACTATTTCAATCAACAAGTTAACTGAACAAGCTGCTTAAAACTTTCATTTTTTAATAAATAAAAGGAGACTTCTTCCAGCCTACAGTGAGCTATCTAGATTCTTCAATATTTTTGGTTTTTGAGAGAGAAAAATGACATGCTAATACTTGCTTTTGTACTCGAGGCTTGCAGTAGCCACTGAAGCTTCATCTTTTGAAGAGGTCCCACCACCACCCACCACAATTGGGTTCTTGACCCAATTTTGCTTATCCAGAATGCAGATCTCTGCTATGTAATACATAGTGTACATCCTTCGCATTTTGTGTATGACCTTGCATTTGTCCACACTAGGACAACATGATTGACTAAATGAATCTTTGTACATAATCCATGTCCTTTGTACTGTTTACTCGCCCTCACTTATCATTCCAGTCAACACCCCCTCTGAGCAAGTCTGGGCAATGATTTCATATTTTAAAGCAGATGATTGATACAAATATTGATCAGCTCTAGGCAGATCCTACAGCAGTATAAGACAGTATTAAATACCCTCTCACAGCCTAGATTATCCCATTAATTCTGTTGAGAAAGGCATCAGGCAACACCAAGATGTAAATAGGTTTAATATCCTTCTAAAATAGGCACATGTCCTGTTGGGCCAGAAAGCATATTAATAAAAAAACAAATTTGGTTTCATTCTGACTCAACAACATTCACTGACATTATTTCCCACACTGTCAATTTTAATGGCTTTTTCTACTAACGGATTCTCAGTTTTCACAGTATTATAAATAATTAACTCAAGGTCATAGAAACATAGAATGGTTTGGGTTGAAAGGGACCTTTAAAGATCATCTAGTCCAACCCCCTGCCATGGGGGTCTGGATAAGATGTTCATGATTGTCTGCACAATCTTGCAAATCAAATAAATCTTCAGCTTCCAAGAACATGCCCTACAGAAAAGCAAGGCTGGTTCTTAAGTTCCAATGCACTCAATACAAGAAGCACGGGTATGCCCTTTAGCTACCCTAGAATCCCTCCCCCAGCACCACACAATGACCAGCTGGAATGGGGTGAACAAGTTCGTAATCCTCAATTTACAAAACTGAGTGGACTGAAGGAAAAAAGGTCCCTTACAGAATCAAAGCCTGTATTCATTGCAGTCTGCCCAGTGACTCAAAGCCAAAAAATGTTCATTTCCCCCTCTCCACGCACTCCCCACTTCTAGAATGCTGGGAAGGTTTAAATTTGAACAGACTGTAAAGCTTGAAGAGCACAGCTATTTATGAACTAGTCCAAAATCTTTGCATTTTGGCAACGTGCCTACAAACAAATCATTACTGAGCTTCTTTTAGTGATAAAAAGAATTCATATCATATATACAGTCCAGATTACTGCCAGAAAATGGAATTGATTTTACTATCTCCTTCCTGCCATTAAACTGCAAAATTAGCATTCAAGGAAAAAAACTAAAGCTCAGCTTTTTAGTCCTTTTCTCACTAAGGAGGCAAAATGAGATCCGTTCGGGCATGTCCGTCCTCTCTCGACTCCTTCCTGTAACGTCCCATTAGAAAGAACAGTAAACTGCGCTTCTTGGAAGCTGGAAATCTATAGTTGGAGTGCAACACCAATGCCAGTTTTCATTTGGAAATCTGAAGGAGTCTATTGACCTTCAATTCTTGAGACAATGACTGAAGGGAAAAAATACCACTTTTCTGTTCAGAAGGCGTATTGTTGTAAAATTTCCACTGTGACAAGTTCCTTCGTATCTTAGGATTCCCATATTCTTTCTTCTTTGGCTGATCGTTATCAGAAATTCAAGAATACTTCTAGAACATAACATACGCAAGCATACGCTTTAGGACCTGTTTTCAACTATTTCCAAGTTCTGCCCACAGAATTATATTTTAAAATGGGGAACACATTGGGTAAATAATCCCACTTGCCTAACATCATGCAAGAAATGAGAGCCCAGAACAAAACTCTAATATTTCCACTTTTAATGCGGTATGGTATATCCTGAGCCAAGTGCTTCCAGAATAATTTTTGCCTTTGTACTTTCCAGATCATTGGCCAAAAGGATTTTCACTCAGCTAATGTTTCAAATGTTCTTTTATGTCATCTAATTTACTCAATTTCTTCTAAAAGCAGTCTCAAATTTTGCCTAAATAATTCTGTGAAGTCTTTAGAGCATTTTAGAGTATCTGGAAATAAAAATCCTCATTCACTTGTAACAAGCAAACTTGTTGCAATCATCAGCTGTCATTCTTCTGCTGCACATACGCAGCAATGAGTAGAATCAGTCTTTCATAAAAATCAGGAATCATGGCTTCTATATACTTACACTCTAGAGTGTCTGGTCACTTAATTCTATGGAAGTGCCAAACAATCCTTCAAATTTTAAGCCTACACCCTTTGCAAATTCATAGAGTGTTAAAGCTACCAACAAACATAGTACAGATACCTAATGAGATGGAAATTATACAACAGAAGTATAAATGCATCCCGAGCTGAATAACGGTACCAGAGAATAAACTAAACCTGAAGGACAAGTGACAATGGCCAGAAGAAAATAGTTTTACTGGTTTATCCATATTCACTTTATTTTGGGAAGTTTTCTAGATTCTTTTGTGATAACAGTGAAAGACAAGAAGGTAAAAGAAAGAGGTAGAAATCATTGTTCTAAACAAGACTTTGAGTGTGCTTTGGTAGGGATAGAAAAGGTTTAATGCCAAAACCAAGACTTAGAGCACCAGAGCAAACAAGAACAAGAAACCCAAGAGGCCATTTGCAAGTGCCCATCATTAAATAAGTTTATTTTAACATTAAAATCTCCCTCTTTTATAGCAATGGCACAAAAGTTTAAAAAAAAAGTTTACATTTAGTACAAGAATTTTTTTGCTGAATACAGTCCAAAAAAGTCAGATCACATAGCCAAAGACCCTGTTACAGACCCTGCTCTAGTAAATGCAATATACTTCCCTCATCTGCTACAACAGCTTATCCTTCTCACACAGATTAACAGGTTTTATACTATTGCTCCCAAATCTGTAACAGACATACTGTTTATTAATGCCTTTACTATGGAAAAGCCTGTCAAAAGTCAAATCATAATGGTAGAAAAAGATTCCAGAAACCCTTCTCCCACTTTTGAGAAAGTTGTGTTCTCTGGACTTCAAGTGGTAAAAGTGTAGTTTCTTGAGGTCTGTAGTTTCTTGATGTCAGTTTAAAGATTTCTAGAAAGTCTGAGAGTTTGCACATGACTACTACTTACACAGGTGACAAGCAAGCTCTGATTCATCACTTCAGACTGCAATTTTGCTAGAAAACGTCATCAATCTGTGTTCATTAGAGTGTGCAAACTGAAACATCTGATTTGAATGAAGCCACCTAAGAAGCTTACTGTGTCAAAAGTGGTCCTCTTCTCCCTCACCCCCATCTTTCTTTACACTGCTTCTGGCACCCTTCTGATCCTTGGGTTGATTAGCTCATCCAATACTAATCTGGCAGAAATTACTCACATTTTTGCTAGGTGAGCTTCCTATTAGGTAATAAAGTTGGTTCAGATAACCAAGGGATGTAAGGAGCTCAAGCTAGTGCAACAGAAACAAAGGGAGCATCAGCTCCGATTTTACTGAGATCCACTACGGAATACTTTCTGTGGATCATATTCAAGGCCAAGTTTCTTTTTGAC